AGTCAATATTATTATTACTTCATATTTTAGTAATTAATATTTAAATGGAAAATGTGTTTAATATTCATGAAAATAATGTCACAATAAAAAACCCTAATGATTTAATTTTCAACATGTACAATATAATTTCCTGCTTTTTTAATTTTGATTTTGGGTGAAATATGACGAAGACATAATTGAATGTTTACCAAATTAAATCCCTAATAAGAGGAAATTGGTAAAAATTAAGTTGAAAGAAATGAGAAAGAAATGGTAATTCTTGTGATTTGAATGATTTTATGAAATTATCTTAAACATATTCTGGAATGTTTTAAACTACAGGATGTGGGGATTTGGATTATGATTATGATTATGATTAAGATTATGAAGGAGTTTGACTGTGCTTCAGTCACTGGCCTTTATTTCACTCTGATATTTACAGTATGTTCATGCAGAGGTTCACTGCCGTCAGGTTGGGCTTTTATAGATTATTTTGCCAATGCTTTATACAGATGAGTTCGGGTTCTGTTTTGGTGCTGATGCAAGTGAAGACGGTTTCCAACAAAGATATATCAATATACTGCAGCAAATATTTTCCCTTCGCTTGGTAGATTATAGTTTGTGGTTTTGATGGAACAGGAACATCTATATTTATATGACTAATTTTAAGATTCATTTTGAACATCATTTGAGTGTCGGGCTGTTATTTTTAGTCCTGCTTTTCTCTGTTTTTGGCGAGGACTTATCTTACTGCTCAATGACTTTTCGTTTCACAGCAACTTGGGAAACATATAAATGCAAAGTCAACACCAAAGCTTTTAAATAATTAAACATGAACACTAAAATAGCACAGTCTGAGGCACTTACACTCCTATAAAAAGAAGAGGTAGTTTCAGGAAATAAAATTAAAAAATAAAAACAACTGGAATGCTTTAGTTGATCCTACCTAAATATTATCTTACATACATAAGATAATGTTTATTAAATATGGAGCAGGATTTTCAAAGATTATGTATTTTGTTTGAGGTTCTCATGTCCTTTCGGCTACATGTATTAAACTATTCATAGCACTGACACCATTGCCATAAATAGATCAGAAGAAAAACGTGTTTATGAATAGTTTTTTACTGAATAATTTCTGTTTTGTATCAAGCCATATTTATTTTAATAAAAGTGATTTTATGTTCATAACGGTTTTATTTATTTTCCTTTATTTATTTATTTTTTTACATTTTTATTAATTTTTTTATGCCTTTGACAGGACAGCTCCGTGAATCATAATCACGAGATAAAACATTTAATGTCTAAGCTGTTGATTTGAGTTTCTGGTAAACAGTCAGTACCCTGGGATCCAACATAGTGTTATTTGTCGTGTTGTTTAAAGGGGTCATATGATGCGAATACAATATTTCTTTCCTCTTTGGAGTGTTACAAGCTCTTGGTGCATAAAGAAGATCTGTAAAGTTGCAAAGACTAAAGTCTCAAATCCAAAGAGATATTCTTTATAAAAGTTAAGAGTCAACAATGCCTACCTAAAACGGCTCGTTCTAACACGCCCCCACATATCTACATCACTATGTGGAAATATTAGCATAATGCCGCCCAAATGTGCACGCAAAGAAAGAAGGTGTGGTTTCAGTAACCGCAGTTAGTGTTGAAGCAGCATGTCAGGGAGACGCTGTGTGTTTCAGTGCGAAAGCAAAAGCACTTTATTTGGCCTTCCGGAAGTAGATGCAACTAGGAATCATTGGTTAAGATTTATTTACAACAGAACAGCACAACCCAGATGGTCGAATTTGTGCAACGCATTTTATGGACAACAGTTCGGCTTGTGTACTGCATCATCACTGTGTCTGTCACGTGACTCTGTTGCCCTTTCAGGCTTGAACTGATGGTAAAACTAATGACATTATTAACTGTCTTGATATTTACTTTAAAAGCTGACGCTCGCGATTATGGTAAGGGGCGTTACATTTCTGACGCGTGCTAGCGGTGTTCGGCCAATCACAATGCACTGGGTCAGCTGGCCAATCAGAGCAGACTGCGCTTGTCAACGGAGGGGGCTTTGTTGAAAACGACGCGTTTGAGAGAGGCGGGGCATAGAGGACCTACAATAATGTACAGTATTTGAAAAATAATGTGTTTTTTGAACATTAAAGCATGTCAACATA